GTTGTCCTTTCCCCAGTGTATGTTAGACAGAGTCTCGCTCTGTCGCCCAGGCTGGAGTGCAGTGGCGCGATCTGGGCTCACGGCAAGCTCCGCCTCCCGGGTTCCCGCCATTCTCCTGCCTCAGTCTCCCGAGTAGCTGGGACTACAGGCGCCCGCCACCTCGCCTGGCTGGTTTTTTTGTATTTTTCGGTAGAGACGGGGTTTCACCGTGTTAGCCAGGATGGTCTCGATCTCTTGACCTCGTGATCCGCCCGTCTCGGCCTCCCAAAGTGCTGGGATTACAGGCTTGAGCCACCGCGCCCGGCCCCCAGTGTATGTTCTTGATGCCCCTGTCAAAAATTAGTTGGCTGTAAATATGTGGATTTACTTATGGGTTCTCTATTCTGTTCCATTGGTCTATGTGTCTGTTTTTATACTAATACCGTGTTGTCTTGATTACCATAGTCTTGTAATATATTTTGAAGTCAGGTAGTGTGATGCATCCACCTTTGTTTTTTGTGAGTTTTTTGTGTTTTGGGGTTTTGTTTGTTTGTTTGTTTTGCTTTTGCTTAGGATTGCTTTGGCTATTTGGGCTCTTTTTTGATTCCATGTGCATTTTAGGATTGTTTTTTCTATTTTCATGAAAAATGACATTGGTATGTTGGTAAGAATTACAACGAATCTGTAGATTGCTTTGGGCACTATGGTCATTTTAACAATACTAATTCTTATGATCCACGAGCATGGGATGTCTTCTCATTTGTTTATGTCATCTTCAATTTCTTTCATCAGTGTCTTGTAGTTTTCCTTGTAGGGATCTTTTATCTCTTTGGTTAAATTTTTTCCTAGATATTTTATTTTTTGTAGCTATTGTAAATGGGATTGCCTTCTTTATTTCTTTGTTGTCTATTTCATTACTAGTGTATAGAAATACTACTGATTATTGTATGTTGATTTTGTATCCTGCAGTTTTACTGAATCTGTTGATCAGTTCTAAGAGTTTTTGGTGGAGTCTTTTGGTTTTCTAGATATAAGATCAGGTCATCTGCAAAGTGGAACAATCTGACTTCCTCTTTCCCAATTTGGATGCCTTTTTCTTGCCTGATTGCTCTGGCTAAGACTTCCAGTACAATGTTGAATAGAAGTGGTGAAAGTGGGCACCTTTGTCTTGTTCCAGTTCTTAGAGAAAAGGTTTTCACCTTTTCTCAAATAAATATGATGATATTAGCTATAGATATGTCATATATGGCCTTAATTATTTTGAGGTATGATATTTGTATGCCTAGTTTGTCCAGAGTTTTTTTCTTTAATCATGAAGGGGTGTTGAATTTTGTCAAATGCTTTTTGTTTGTTTATTGAGATTATCATATGGCTTTTTTCCTTCATTCTGTTGATGTGATGTATCATGTTTTTTGATTTGTATATATTGAAGCATCCTTGCATCCCTGGTAAAAATCTTACTTGATCAATCCCATTGCTGGGTATATACCCAAATGATTATAAATCATTCTGCTATAAAGACACATGCACACATGTATTTATTGCAGCACAATTCACGATAGTAAAGACTTGGAACCAACCCAAATGCCCATCAATGATAGACTGAATAAAGAAAATGTGGCACATATACACCATGGAATACTATGCAGCCATAAAAAAGGATGAGTTTGTGGCCTTTAAAGGGACATGGATGAAGCTAGAAACCATCATTCTCAACAAACTAACACAGGAACAAAAAATCAAACACCACATCTTCTCACTCATAAGTGGAAGTTGAACAATGAGAACACGTGGACACAGGAAGGGGAACATCACATACCAGGGCCTGTCTGGGGGTTGGGAGTAGGGGAGGGATAGCATTAGGAGAAATACTTAATGTAGATGACAGGTTGATGGGTGCAGCAAACTACCATGGCACGTGTATACCTATATAACAAACTTGCACGTTCTGCACATGTATCTCAGAACTTAAAGTATAATTTAAAAAAAAAAACCTTACTTGATTAAGGTGTATTATCTTTTTCATATGCTGTTGGATTTGGTTTGTTAGTATTTTGTTGAGGATTTTGCATCTATGTTCATCAGGGACATTGTCTGTAGTTTTATGTTGTACCTTTGTCTGGTTTTGTTATAAGGGTTATGTTGGCCTCATAGAATTAGTTAGGGAGAATTCTCTTCCCTTCAATGTTTTTGAATAGTTTGAGAAGGATTGGTATTAGTTCTTTATACAAGTTCAGCAGTGAATCCATTTGGTCCTTGGCTTTTTATTGTTAGGAGACTTTTTGTTATGGATTCAACCTCAGTACTCATTATTGCTCTGTTCAGGTTTTCTATTTCTTCCTGATTCAATCTTGGTAGTTTGTATGTTTCTAGGAATTTATCCATTTCCTCTAGATTTTCCAGTTTGTTGGCATATAGTTGTTTACAATAGTCTCTGACGATTGTTTGTGTTTTTTGTGGTATCAGTTGTAATATCCCCTTTTTTTATTTCTGATTTTGTTTATTTGGGTCTTCTCTCTTGTTTTCCTGGTTAATTTAGCTAGTAGTTTATCAATTTTATCTTTTTGAAGAACAAACTTTCATTTCATTGATCCTTTGTTTTTTTTTTAAGTCTCTATTTCATTTAGTTCTGCTCTTATCTTTATTATTTCTTTTCTTTTGCCACCTTTGGGCTTGGTTTGCTCTTGCTTTTCTAATTCCTTGAGGTGCATTGTTAGATTGCTTATTTCGAATCTTTTTTTTAAAATGTAGGCGTGTATTGCTATAAACTTCCCTTTTAGCACTGCTTTCGCTGTGTTCTATAAATTTGGGTATGTTGTATTTCCATTTTCATTTGTTTTAAGAAGTTTTCTGATTTATCACTTTATTTATTGACTGAAAAATTGCTCAGAAGCATGTTGTTTAATTTCCATGTATTTTATAGTTTCAAGGTTCTTCTTGGTATTGATTTCTACTTTTATTCTCCTGTGGTCTGAAAAGACACTTGATATGATTTCAACTTTTTACAAATTTGTTGAGACTTCTTTTGTGATCAAACACATGATCAACTTTGGAGAACATTCCATATGCTGATGAGAAGAATGTGTATTCTATAGTTGTTTGATAAAATGTTCCATAAATGTCTGTTACGTCCATTCAATCTAAAGTCCAGTTTAAATCCAATGTTTCTCTTTTGATTCTCTGTCTAGATCATCTGTCTAATGCTGAGAGTGGGGTGTTGAAGTCCCCCACTATTCTTCTGTTGAAGTTTATCCCTTTCTTTAGATCCAGTAATATTTACCTTAGGAATCTAGGTGCTCAGTGTTGGGTGAATATATTTTAGAACTGTTATATTCTCTTGCTGGATTGATCACTTTATTATTATATAATGACCTTCTTTGTATCTTTTGTTTTACTGTTTTTTACTTAAGGTCTGTTTTATCTGATATAAGTATAGCTACCCCGATTGCTTTTGGCTTCTGTTTTCATGGAATATCTTTTCCCTTCCCTCTACTTTCCATTTATATATATGTATTTACAGGCAAAGTGCATTTTTTGTAGGCAGCACATAGTTGGATCATTTAAAAAACCCATTCATCCTGGGCAAAAGCTGGAAGCATTCCCCTTGAAAACAGGCACAAGACAAGGATGCTGTCTCTCACCACTCCTATTGAAAGTAGTATTGGATGTCCTGGCCAGGGCAATCAGGCAAGAGAAAAAAATAAAGGCATCCAAATAGGAAGAGAGGAAGTCAAGCTATCCCTGTTTGCAGATGACATGATCCTGTATCTAGAAAACTCCATATCCTCAGCCCCAAAGCTCCTTGATTTGATAAACAACTTCAGCAGAGTCTCAGGATACAAAATCAATGCACAAAAATCAGAAGCATTCCTACATACCAACAACATGCAAGCTGAGAGCCAAATCAAGGATGCAATCCAATTCCTAATAACCACAAAAAAGAATAAAATACCTAGGAATACAGCTAAACAGGGAGTGAAAGATCTCCACGAGGAAAACTATAAAACACTGCTCAAAGAAATCAGAGATAACACAAACAAATGGAAAAACCTTCCATGCTCACGGATAGGAAAAATCAGTATCATTTAAACGACCATACAGCCCAAAGCAATTTATAGATTCAATGTTATTCCTATTAAACTACCATTGACATTCTTCAAAGAGCTAGAAAAAACTACTTTAAAATTCATATGGAACCAAAAAGAGCCTGAATAGCCAAGGCAATTCTAAGCAAAAAGAACAAAGCTTCCTTCTGTGCCTCAGGTATTTCTCGTGACTTTTCTATTGGATTCTAGTGTTCTCTCCAAGATGTTCTATTCAAGGTGTAATTATCTATTTGTAATTTTGGTTCTTCTTTCTGGAGAGAACAAGTGTTGGATGTCTCTAGTCAAGCATCTTAAACCAAAAACCTCTCTGATGTTCACTTATGTGGACATAAATTTTCACTTCTCTGGGGTAAATGCGCAGGAATGTAATTGCTAGGTTGTATGTCAAGTGTATGTTTAATTTTATAAGAAACTGTCCAACTATTTTCCAAAGTGACTGCATCATTTTAGATTCTCAGCAGCAATGTATGAGAAACCCAGTTTCTCTGCATCTTCACCAGCATTTGCTAATGTCAGTATGTTTTATTTTAACCATTCTGATATATATGTAATACTATTTAATTGTGGTTTTAATTTGCATTTCTCTAGTGGATAATGATGTTGAGCATTTTTCATGTGCTTATTTGCTTATTCATAGTTTTCAGCACACAGATCTTATATGTGTTTTGTTAGAATTATACCTAAGTATTTTATTTAATTTGATAATTGTAAATGGTATTGTATTTTCAATTCTGATTCCACTTGTTCACTACTAGAATACAAAAATACAATTGATATTTATGTGTTTATCATGTGTCTAGTGATCTTGTGCATGTGAAGTGCTTTGCATGTAAGATCTCAGTGCTTTCTGGTAAATTCATTAGGATTTTATATTTAGACAATAAAACATTTGCAAATAAGAGAAAATTTCCTTTTTTTTTTTTTTTTTTTTGACAGAGCCTCACTCTGTTGCGCAGGCTGGAATGCAGTGGCGTGATCTTGGCTCACTGCAACCTCCCCCTCCCGGGTTCAAGCAATTCTCCTGCCTCAGCCTCCTGAGTAACTGGGACTACAGGTGTGTGCCACCATGCCAGGCTAATTTTTTGTATTTTTAGTAGAGATGGGATTTCACTGTCTTAGCCAGGATGGTGTCGATTTCCTGACTCCATGATCCACCGGCCTCGTCCTCCCAAAGTGCTGGGATTACAGGCGTGAGCCACTGCACCAAGCCTATTTCCTCTTTTCTAATTTGTATGTCTTTTATTTCTTTTTCTTGCCTTCTTGTACTGTCTAGGACTTCTGGTATATGATGAATAAGTGATGAGCATAGACATCCTTGCCGTGTTCTTGTTCTAGGGGAATAGCATTCAGTATTTCATCATAAAGTAAGATGTTAGCTGTAGGTTTTCTGTAAATGTTTTTTATCACGTCGAGGATATTCTCCTCTATTCTTAGTTAGGCAAGAGTTTTTATCAGGAATGAGTATTGAATTTTGTCAAATGCTTTTTCTGAATCAGTTAATATGATCATGTGGTTTTTTTTTTTTCTCTAGCCTGTTAATATGGTAGATTACACTGATTTTTGAATATTGAACAAGTATTGCATTTCTGGAATGAACCCCACTTGGTTGTAGTATATAATTCTTTTTACATGTTGCTGGATTCGATTTGCTAATATTTAGTTGAGGATTTCTGCTCTTATCTTTTTTTTTTTTTTTTTTTTTTGAGACGAAGTCTCCCTCTGTCGCCAGGCTGGAGTGCAGTGGCGCCATCTCGGCTCACTGCAACCTCGGCTTCCCGGGTTCAAGCGATTCTCCTGCCTCAGCCTCCCGAATAGCTGGGATTACAGGTACGTGCCACCACTCCCAGCTAATTTTTGTATTTTCAGTAGAGATGCGGTTTCACCATGTTGGCCAGGATGGTCTCAATCTCCTGACCTCGTGATCTGCCCATCTAAGCCTCCCAAAGTGCTGGGATTACAGGCGTAAGCCACCACACCCGGCCTGCTCTTATCTTTACTATGTTCTGCTTTCTGCTTGCTTTGGGTTTACTTTGCTCTACTTTTCCAGGTTCTTGAGGCAACAGCTTAAGTTGTTGCTTCTAGAGCTTTCTTTCTTTTTTCTAAGCATGTAATGCTACAAATTTCTCTCTCAGAACTGCCTTAGCTGCATCCCACAAATTTTAATATGTTGCATTTTCATTTTCATTCAGTTCAATGTGGTTTTGATGTTCTTTGAGACTTATTTGAGCCATTAGATTATTTGCATGAGTGCTGTTTAATTGCCAGTGTTTGGAGATTTTCCTTTTATTTCTCTGTTACCGATTTCTAGTGTGAAAACATTATGGTCAGAAAACAATCTACACATGATTTCCATTCATTTAAATTTTTAGAGGTGTGTTTTATGGCTCAGGATATGGTCTATTTTAGTCAACACGCCATGTACTTTTGGAAAGTATGTACGTTTTGCTGTTGTTAGGCAGAGTGTTAGATTCAGCTGATTAATGGTTGTATTAGTTTTCTATGGCTGCTGTAACTAATTATTACTGGCTTAATAGCTGAAAACAACACAAATTCATTATTTTACAGTTCTGTCATTCAGAAGTCTAAAATGGGTCTCACTGGGCTAAAAAACAGTTTGTCAGCAGGGCTGCATTCCTTTCTGGAGACTCTAGGGGAAAATCCATTACCCTGCCCTTTCCAGCTTTGAGAGGCTGCCCACATTTCTCAGCTCATGATTCTTGTATTCCATCTTCAAAACCTGTTGTGGGTTGAGTTTTTTCACTTTATATCACTCTGACTTCCACTTCTGCCTCCCTCCTCCACATTTAAGGATCACTGTGATTACACTTAGCCTGCTCAGGTAATCAAGAACTAACTCCCTATTTTAAAGCCAGTTGACAAGCAACCTTAATTCCATCAGCTACATAATTTTCCTTTGCCATGTAATGTAAGAAACATACAGGTTCTGGGGATTAAAACATGGATATCTTTAGGGGAGATATTATTCTGCCTACCACAATGGTGTCTTTCTGTTCTTCTGTATACATGCTGATTTACTATCTAATAGTTCTATCTATTGCTGAGAGGGGTTATTAACATCCCCAACTATAATTATGGATTTATCTGTTTTTTCTTTCAGATCTACCAGTTTTTGCTTCATATATTTTGAAGCTCTGCTCTGTGATGTACACATTTAGGAGCAAGGTGTCTTCTTGTGTGTTAAACCTTTTGTCATTATGCGATGTCCCTCCTTATATCTGGTAATATTTGTTCTGAGGTCTGTCTACCTTATCTGACTTTAATATAGCCACCCCTGCTTTATTTTGATTGATGTTTGCATGATATATCTTTTCTATTCTTTTACTTTCAATCTCCTTATATCAGTACATTTGAAGTGAGTTTTTATGGAGAGCATAGAGTTGAGCCCTGTTAATTTATCCACTCTGCCAATCTGTGACTTTAAATAGATGTACTTACATTTACATTTAATAAAGATTAATGTGCTAGGGTTTATGTCTTCCATTTTATTATTATTATTTTTTCTTTGTTCTCATTCTTTTTCATTGAAGTAAAATTCATACAATTTAAAATTAGCCATTTTAAAGTGTATGATTTAGTTGCATTTATTACATTCACAGTGTTGGGCAATCATGCAACTATGTAGTTCTGAAATATTTTCATAAGTTGTCTCTTCACTCTGTTGATTATTTTATTTGCTGTGAAGAAGCTTTTTAGTTTAATGTCATTCCATTTGTCCAGTTTTGCTTTTGTTTCCTGTGCTTTTGGGGTCATATCAAAAAGTCATTATCTAGACCAGTGTTGTAGCCTTTCCCCTAAGTTTTCTCCCATGAGTTTTATAGTTTCAAGTCTTATGTTTAAGTCTTTAATCCATTTTGAGTTGATTTTGTGTATGGTGTGAGATAAGTGTCCAAGTTCATTCTTTGGCATGTGGATATCCAGTTTCCCTAACACCATTTATTAAAGAGACTTTTTTTCATTGTGGGTTCTTGGCATCTTTGTAAAACATCAATTGGCAAGGGAGAGGTTCCAAGATGGCCGAATAGGAACAGCTCCAGTCTACAGCTCCCAGTGTGAGTGACACAGAAGACGAGTGATTTCTGCATTTCCAACTGAGGTACCGGGTTCATCTCACTGTGGCTTGTTGGACAGTGGGTGCAACCCATGGAGCATGAGCTGAAGCAGGGCAGGGTATTGCCTCACCTGGGAAGCACAAGGGGTTGGGGAATTCCCTTTCCTAGCCAAGAGAAGCAGTGAGAGATGGTACCTGGAATATCGGAACACTTCCACCCTAATACTGCACTTTTCCAACAGCCTTAGCAAACCAGGAGATTATATCCCACGCCTGGCTCGGAGGGTCCCATGCCCACAGAACCTCACTCACTGCTGGCACAGCAGTCTGAGATTGAACTGCAAGGCAGCAGTGAGGCTGGGGGAGGGGCATCCACCATTGCTGAGGCTTGAGTAGGTAAACAAAGTGGCTGGGAAGCGCAAACTGGGTGGAACCCACCGCAGCTCAAGGAGGCCTGCCTGCCTCTGTAGACTCCACCTGTAGGGGCAAGGCATAGCTGAACAAAAGGCAGCAGAAACTTCTGCAGACTTAAACATCCCTGTCTGACACCTTTGAAGAGAGTAGTAGTTCTCCCAGCATGGAATTTGAGATCTGAGAATGGACAGACTGCCTCCTCAAGTGGGTCCCTAAACCCCAAGAAACCTAACTGGGATGTACCCCCCAGTAGGGGCCGACTGACACCTCATACAGCCAGGTGCCCCTCTGAGACAAAGCTTCCAGAGGAAGGATCAGGCAGCAACATCTGCCGTTTGCAATATTTGCTGTTCTGCAGCCTCTGCTGGTGATACCCAGGCAAACAGGGTCTGGAGTGGACCTCTAGCAAACTCTAACAGACCTGCAGCTGAGGGTCCTGACTATTAGAAGGAAAACTAACAAACAGAAAGGACATCCACACCAAAACCCCATTTGTATGTCACCATCATCAAAGACCAAAGGTAGATAAAACCACAAAGATGGGAATAAACCAGAGCAGAAAAGCTGAAAATTCTAAAAACCAGAGTGCCTCTTCTCCTCCAAAGGAATGCAGCTCCTTGCCAGCAATGGAACAAGGCTGGATGGAGAATGACTTTGATGAGTTGAGAGAAGAAGGCTTTAGACGATCGGTAATAACAAACTTCTCCGAGCTAAAGGAGGATGCTTGAACCCATCGCAAAGAACCTAAAAACCTTGAAAAAAGATTAGATGAATGGCTAACTAGAATAAACAGCATAGAGAAGACCTTAAATGACCTGATGGAGCTGAAAATCATGGGACAAGAACTACGTGACACATGCACAAGTTTCAGTAGCCGATTCGATCAAGTGGAAGAAAGGGTATCAGTGATTGAAGATCTAATGAATGAAATAAGTGAGAAGAGAGGTTTAGAGAAAGAAGAGTAAAAAGAAACAAACAAAGCCTCCAAGAAATATGGAACTATTTGAAAAGACCAAACCTATGTCTGATTGGTGTACCTGAAAGTGATGGGGAGAATGGAACCAAGTTGGAAAACACTCTTCAGGATATTATCCAGGAGATTTTCCCCAACCTAGCAAGGCAGGCCAACATTCAAATTCAGGTAATACAGAGAACGCCACAAAGATACCCCTCAAAAAGAGCAACTCCAAGACACATAATTGTCAGACTCACCAAAGTTGAAATGAAGGAAAAAATGTTAACGGCAGCCAGAGAGAAAGGTTGGGTTACCCACAAAGGGAAGTCCATCAGACTAACAGTGGATCTCTCAGCAGAAACTCTACAAGCCAGAAGAGAGTGGGGGCCAATATTCAA